CAGGTCGCAGAGAGAGTGGAATCCAGCATTTTCGCAGCAGATCCAGAATCTTTGGAGAGTAGAAAGAGAGGAAAAACGTGCCTCATGATAAAAACACTGCTGCTCAGCATTTTCAAATCAAGCAAATGTAGAAGAGAAAGCAGCAAAAAAGAAGTAAAGGACAAAGTTGAAGAACCCCAACAAGCTGAGGATCGACTTGAATCTGCAGAAAATTACATGCAGGAAGAAACCACAAATCAGGAAAGCAAAACCATCAATGAACCTGATCATGAATCGCTACAAGAGACTGAGCAGAAAAATGAGACGTATGATCAGGCTGAGAATAGAGAGGTTTCAGTAAAAGCTGCTTCAGTGCCCGAAGAAGAAAAACCCAAAGAGAGAAGAACAGTGAAAAGTTGCATTGCCAAGTTTTTCACTCACAAAAACTCCAAACAGGAAGGAAAATCCGATGAAGAAAAGGTGGAATCTCCCCATTTTGAGGCTCAAATGGAAGAAAAAAACTATTTTCAGGCAGAAGACGAAATGTCTGAGAATAATTCTGTAGACTTTGTACAAAAGGAACATGTCAATCTTTTAACTTTTGAGGATACCACAGATGTTTCTGTAAAAGCTGCTTCAGTCACTGTAGAGAAACCCAAAAAGGAAAGGACGGTCAAAACTTTTATTAATAAGCTTTTTACTCTCAAAAAATCAAAAATAGAAGGAAAACAAGAGGAAGAAAAGATGGAGTCTCCTCATTTTGAGGCCCAAATGGAAGAAGAAACAGATTTGCAGACAGAAGTAGAAACATCTGAGATTACCTCTGTAGACTTTGAACAACAGGAAGATCCAGATGTTTTCAATTTTGAGGAAACAGAGTCTGGACAGAAAAATGAGACGTGTGAACAGGCTGAAGAGACCACAGATGTTTCTGTAAAAGCTGCTTCAGTGCCTGAAGAAGAAAAACCCAAAGATAAAAGAACAGTGAAAAGTTGGATTAAGAAGTTTTTCACTTGCAAAAAGTCCAAAAAAGCAGAAAAATCAGATGAAGAAAAGGTGGAGTCTCCCCATTTTGAAGCCCAAATGGAAGAAGAAACAGGTTTTCAGACAGAAATAGAAACATCTGAGATTACTTCTGTAGACTTTGAACAAAAGGAAGATCCAGATGTTTTAACTTTTGAGGAAACAGAGTCTGGACAGAAAAATGATATGTCTGAACCTGCTGAAGAGACCACAGATGTTTCAGTAAAAGCTGCTTCAGTGCCTGAAGAAGAAAAACCCAAAGAGAAAAGAACAGTGAAAAGTTGGATTAAGAAGTTTTTCACTTGCAAAAAATCCAAAAAGGAAGAAACATCAGATGAAGAAAAGGTGGAATCTCCCCATTTTGAAGCCCAAATGGAAGAAGAAACAGATTTGCAGACAGAAGTAGAAACATCTGAGATTACTTCTGTAGACTTTGAACAACAGGAAGACCCAGATGTTTTAACTTTTGAGGAAACAGGGTCTGATCAGAAAAATGAGACTTCTGAACACGCTGAGGATACCACAGATGTTTCAGTAAAAGCTGCTTCAGTCACTGTGGAGAAACCCAAAGAGAAAAGGACCGTAAAAAGTTTTTTTTATGAGCTTTTTACTATAAAAAAATCCAAAATAGAAGGAAAAGAAGAGGAAGAAAAGGTGGATTCTCCCCTTTTTGAGGCCCAAATGGAAGAAGAAACCGATTTGGAGACAAAAGTAGAAACATCTGAGGTTACTTCTGTAGACTTTGTTCAACAGGAAGATCCAGATGTTTTTAAATTTGAGGAAACACAGACTGAGCAGGAACCAGAGACACTAAAAGAGCCGAAGACAAACCAGAGGGACGTGGTGACTCTTCTCTTCTGCTGTGCCAACACGGATGCGATTTCCCCTCTTAAGGAGCCAAAGGATCAGCCGGAAGAAAACAAGGGGACTGAACCAGGAGAAACGGCGGATGAGGTGTCCATGAGGCAGGAGAGAGAAGCAAACAGGCTTTGGTGCAAAGTTCTAGTGGAACACTTTGTGAAGCAGCTGGTCCG